AAGCAGGAAGGAGGAGGGACCAGCAGTTAGCGGAATGGCTATGTCCCTAAACTCTCATGTATCTGAGCGCGGTTCGAGTCCTGGACCCAGTGGCTTAAACTCACGCCGGGCACATGCGTGCCCAAGATCCTAAGAGGAGAATGGAGGAGAAGGGATTGCAGTGTGGCCATCCCCCCTGAGGGTGATTTCTTGCTTTCTATCTCTGTCTCTCTTTCTGGCCAGCGCAGGCGCCCTATAGCAAAAAACCTCTCCCCCAAAAAAAGAAGGGGAAGCAGGAGTCCGGTAAGGATGGGGCCCCAGGCAGAGACCATTCCTGCCTGACCGTTATGCATGTGTACCCTGATTACTCTGCAGTTGAATGTCTCCGTTTATCCTTAACAGAGATGATCAAAATGCTATCATGGTCCAAAAAAATTTTTAAAAATCAGAGGTAAAAGCTACCTAGGTCAACGGGAAATAAAAACCCTGAACCTTACCAGCCTTTGTGACTTTTTTTTTTTGACCAGCAGATGGCATAATGGCAATGTCACTGGACTCCCATGTGGTAGACTGCAGTTCAAGTCCCAGAACCAGTGGCGTAAACTCATGCCAGGTGCATGTGCATGTGTGCCCATAGATCCTGAGAAGAATGGAGGAGAAGGGATTGCAGTATGGCCATCCCCCCAGGGGGGTGATTTCTCACTTTCTGTTACTGTGTCTTTTTGGCAAGCGCACACGCCCTATAGCAAAAACCTATCAAAAACAGAAAAAAACAATTTTAGTAAGTTAAAAAGTTTTACCAAATTTTTTTTCTGGGCTGGCACATAGCCTAATGGTAAAGGGAGCTGAATCCCCGCATGACTGACCACCGTTTGAATCTCAACCCAGCAACTTGAAAAACTCACCAGACGTGTGTGTGTGCATGCCCAGAATCACAGAGGAATGGAGAAGTGGAGGAGAACGGATCATAGTGTGACCATGCCCAATTGGAGGGTACTTTCTCTCTGTCTGGCAATTAAAAGGATTTTCCCTTTATTCCTGCTACAACAC